TTCAGATCTAGTTCCAACTGAGAGTCTGTGGCAAGATATTGATATTCCAGATTTCTGCAGCTCATCTTCAAAGTGGCACCAGAAAGCATGAACACATTTCTCCAGTCTGAGTGAATCTCTGCACAGGCTTTTTATTTCCCTGTAATGTTTCAAGCAGCATGGCCCGGTCCGGTTTAGGCCTAATGGATCTTCCCCAACATTCACACAAACGTAAGAGCGCTCCGGTCAGGCGGCCCGTCTCGTTTAGATATTCTAAGCTCCAGCTCTAGTCTGACTTATGAGTCATTTCACAAAATAATAATAAAAGAAAACAGTTTTCCTGTGTATATTTTTATTTGTAACAATTATTCAGATCAATGTTTCTTTTCTTCTGTCCATATATTGAACCTGCATCACATTCTGCCACATTACGTACATTATTTACTCTGAACATTGAACATGCACTCAATTAGCCAAGACATTTTTATCTTCATTTGTTTTTTTTTTTGTTTTTTTAAAAGACCTTCACAGCGGAGACGACGATACGTTTCGGAGCGTCTGCAGCCGCGTCACGTTGGGGTTTACGAGACGTCGAGCTGTCCTTCAGACGCACGCAAGCCCGTTACCAACAACAAATCAAAACCCAAAAGTACAACAAGCCAAGCACCATGAACCAGAAATGAGCAGTAATTCAGACAAAGTGCTCCTCGGAGGAACATGACAGTCATGTCTTCCTCCTGGCACGTGTCACTGTGGGCCAATGACAAGTGGAGGCAAGAGGAGGCCGAGCAGGGAGAGAGGAGTCGGGCTCACGGAGCGAGAGGGAGGGTGTATGTGACTGAGTGCATCTATGATTCTTATCTCCTTTTGTAACGCGGACGCCCTCGGGGCAAATCGCACACAAGCACACACACAACGTAAACCTGCCGTGACAGCAGTCAGAGACACCCTGTGTGGTCACATGTTCTCCTGCCCTGACTCAGACATGCACTGGGAGAAATGAAAAAAAAAGAGAGAGAGAGAGATGCAACTACTTTCTCTGTGTTATTCGCCACTGATTTACTGTAATTCCTACAAACGATCCCTGACTGCGAAGAGAAGTGACGCGGACGGACATCATGCCGCAATTTGAGATTGTTCCACTGCGTTGCTTCGACGAGTAGTTCGGAGGTGTTGCCGTTTCTAAATTGGAATCAGAAGACCAATTAGGCTTCGTTTGCTGAAAATGCTCTGAAAGCTGGGCCGCTGGAGCTCAAAAGCAGATGCAAAAATACAACTACATGAGATCAACAGCAACATGCACAGAGCGCTCAGCCGGTGGTTTGGGGCGCGTGTGGTAGAGGTCGACAAATCTGCAAGAAGAATGAAATAAACCGCAGCAGAAACAGCGTGAGTGACACAAACACTGTGGACTATTGTATCAATGTAATTTTCTTTACATTATTTGAGGTCTGAAAACGCTGCATCTTTTTGTGGTAATTTGTCCATTTCTCATTTTCTGCATGTAACTAGTTCATAGAAATAACATAACAATGTTCATTTTACTCAAACATAGACCTACGAAAAGTAAAATCAGAGAAACTGATCATTTTAATGTTTTCCAGAGCTATATATTACATAAAACCTAATGGATCACACCTTTTTTCTGCTGAACTGTTTACCTGCTGAAACGTCTGTCCATGTGTTCTACAGCATAACGCTCCATACCTCTGGCATTACAGCAGGTCTTGGTATTATCAGCTGTGCAGGCAGGTGCCAAGTCCTACTGCAAAAAGGAAATCAGCATCTTCATAAAGCATGGCAGCAGAGGGAGTAGGAAGTGCTCTAAAATATTCCCACAGACCGATTTTGGAGTTCATAAAACACATAAATTACACGCAAAAGAAGGTAATCTGCATCCTGACTCCTACCCTCTCATTCTAACCTAAAGCGAATTACATTTAAAACCTTGTAAGAAAACTCGCCAGGTGTAAGGGGTTGATAAGCATCTCATTTGCTGCCTCGACATGTAAACGTTGCAACGCTGTAGTTCAAGGCAGAGCACTTAGAGCGCCGACCACGAGCCGGTTGCTTGGTTCTGCTAATCACTTCCTGGTGGTTTAAACAGCAATTTCAAGAACATCAACGCTCACCGCAGACCTGCTCCTGCCCCTTCTACTACGCACCCATCAAGGCATCAAATATCATGCTCTCTGTCCGGCTTCAGTCGGCACAGATGCGTGTCGGAGAGCGAATACGAGTTCAATTAGCAGAACAACCAAACCCACAAATCACCGACTGCGTTTTGGTTTTCTGAGAAGCAACACGGTTTCTGTTCTTTTTTGGCTCCCATTCCTGCCAGACAAAGATGTCAGCACAACATCAGGAGTCTGCCGGAACATTAAGGTTCTCTGCAGAATCATAAAGAAGTCTTCGGGGTACAGGGGGGGGGTAGGGGAGGATGCATTAACAGCTCACTGTCTTAACAATGATAGTTCCCCTGCTGTTTTCTGCGTGCACACAACATCTGCTGTGGCTTTGTGGGGGTTTATTACTGTGGCGGCATCATGGCTTGGAACACACTGTTCCTAGGTGTCTGTTAGCAGCAGCTTATCTGTGGCGATTAGCTACGCTGGCCTCCTACCAAGGCTACAACCTCATCAAGCTCACACTAGGCTGGCAGCAATCAAAGTAAATTGATTAAACACACTCGGCGGCACGGATGCTATGGACATTACGGTTAAATTAATTTTGAGCGAATCATAAATCTATTCTAATAGATACTGTTCAACAACGGGGCCGACGGTGAAGAGACGTCAGTATGTGAAAGGCACTCCGTGGAGTGGAGCACACGTCTCCAAATTGTGCATAGACTTGGTTGACTTAAAAAAATAAAAAGTTGTAAATATTCCAAGATGACGCTGAGGCATCCTTGTTACATTATATTTAGGATCATAGGCTTTAGAACAGAAGAAGAGACTCATAAAAACAAAACGTGAGGCTTCTGAATCGGGTCTCCAACTAGAATCAGAACTTTGTTGCACAAAAAACAGCAACTCTCCAAGTCAAGTCAAATAACTGAATAAGACGTTAAGAAATTAAGTATATCTCAATAAACATAAAATATAGTGGAAACACAAACAACCGAGATGTTAAGGAGAAATAAATAAATGATAATAAGGTTTTAGCTCTTCTGTATGAGCCGATTTTTTGTTTCTTTGTTATACAACCACATTAGAAAGAACTGGTTCAAAGTCTTGCTCATCTCTCCTCACAATGATCAGTAAAAAAATAGCCAGTTTTCAGTTTACCAAACAAAATAACTGTCAAAGTAACTCAGCTGTTAGTCACTCAAGATGTAAATAAGGATTTCAATTAACTTCAGCCACATTAAGATATTCAAAATGGACTTTCTCGATGTGAATTCTCGATCCTTCTTGAAGCCACAAAATTCACGTCGACAGCCATGATTCATGGTAATTCATCATATGTTGAAGCTCGTCCTCATAAAGTGACAATTTCAGTTTCACAAATGTTACCCTGGTAGCTCATACTGAAGAATCGATCTTCTTTCTGCGTTGGACAAACACCTTTTTTCATACATTCGCAGCCCAAATCCCAATAAATCGGCTCAGCCTTCCACCTCCACACTGCATGTTAAACAAGGTTACATTCAGAAGTGAGCAACTTAAAAGACCAAACTCAGGAGGCAAACGACTTCTGGGAGTTTGGGTTTGGAAAAAAGTAAAAAATAAAAACAGTAGGCGTTAGGGATTAAAGTCAAAGCTCACGACAAAAAAAGAAACACCCTCTCTCCCTCATGGCAGCAAGGCAATTTGAGATTTAGCGTTTGATTCCCTGCTCTCTTCGGGATGGAGACATTAAAACAAAATCAATACTTAACTTTCAAAGCTTATGAGAGGGAGGCATATAAAAAAAGTGGATTTTATGTAAGGTGAATTTGGTATTAAATTGCTACGGCCGAAACAAAAATAGTGTTTACTGTACGGAAACACAAGCAGCGTGTTTGAGATGCTGACTCAAGATACAGTGTGCTTAAAGGTTCACTGACGTGAAAGATCACAAAGCTGTGACTTTATCTACACAAACTCAAGTTGTTTAAATGCATAGAAGTATCAGTTTATGTACATTTCCCAACACTGAGGAAAAAAAAAATCTAAAATTCTCTCTATTTCCTCTTGAATTAGGCAAATAGAAATAACGTCGGTGTTCCTGACTGACTTAAAACAGAAATTGTTGAATGTAATTTCATCTCAGAAGGTGAAGAAAAAAAAAAAGTTTCTACATTTTATAGTGTATTAAATATCTTATTTCATCTCCACAACACACAGGACAATGCAAGGGGAACTGTTTGCAATGGCTGCTGCGTTTCTGTCACACATTTTCGGATTTTAAACCTCGTGACTCATGACTACCGACGTATTGTTACCCACTGAAGCTTCACATAGCCGCCCTCTCGTCACGGGTTAAAGTGAACAACACAAATCTCACCCAGGTCCCCTTATCAAGCACAAAACGGTTCTTCTTTGTTGATTTTTTTTTTCTATTTCCCCATCTAAAATTACTTGCAAGAGCTGCTGGACTACACAGGCACAAAAATACGCAGGAAGGGAAACAAAGAAAAAAGCAGAGCGTCGGATCAGTTTTTCGCTGTGCCTTTGATCAACTGTTTATCTTGATTTAAAGAAGTTTCCTTTTTTCTCTGCAGGGATCGATAAGTAGGGGGAAGTGTGATCTAGATAGGCAGTAAAGCTGACCACATGCGGGACAAAGCCGAGAAAAAGAAACACTTCTCAGCAGCAGCCAATTAAGGGAACACAGCAGAGTGGCACATTCAAACCGTAGCAGGGCTGAGTGAAATGAGACGGCAGTAAAGCTGCTAATTAGCTGACACAATACACTCCTGACCAACATCCATTCGGTGGAGCTCTTTTATCTGATTCTTTCGCTCCATCAGACTTGCACACACACACACACACACCCACACACACACGTGATAACGGATTGACAGATTTACTGACCTTCCATCGCGTACTTCATATCCTGTGCAAACAGGTTCCACATGATCTCGGCGCTGATTTTCCCCGCGTTCAATTCCTGCGGAAACCTGTCGGGATGGAGAGAAATTCCAATCAGCCTCATGCTTCCACGTGACGGTCACCGGACGACAGCTCTCTTAGCAGATGTGGAAGTGGATTTGGTCTCTCTGTCTCAGTCTCAACCCCCGTTTTGCCACTCCCAAAACTTTTGGTTGAGCCGAGGGGCAAAGTGGGAGAGAAACGGCGAGGCGTGAGAGCAAGTGTGGGAGGAAACATCAACGCGTTTAGGGAGAGACAGAGACGGCGGCAGCCTAATTGGCAAGTAATCTGTTTTGAATGTGTATGGATTTCCAGTCAGAGCTTGAATGCGAGATGTCGTCGGTTTAATTATCCGTGGCTTGGCGAAGCGATGGGAGGACATTTATGGATGGCCGAGCCGGCCCCGAAGATGGTGATTTCATCTGGAAATATTTCACTTATTTATGGAGACTATGTTGTGTCGTACAGCAAATGAAATGTCCTCCCCTGCCAAAAAAAAAAGAACAAAATCCTCTTGCAAGATTAATCGTCTAATAGAAGTCATATGGAGAAGGAGTAAAGAATTTATGGTAAAATACTGTATAAATACAGTAAAATTCTGGCAACTGCAGCTGCCGGTATTTTACCGTAAATCAAATTTTTTTTTTATTTTTTTTTTTTACAGTGGACATAAAGTGCCATTAAACAGTGTTCACATCCTTGAAATTTTTCACATTTTGTCACTCTGAAAACACAACCTTATCATTTCTTTTAACAACGATCTGAAAACTGTGTTGTACATTTGCACTCAAATGTACAACCGGGTTACGGGATGGTTTAATATTTGAAGCCCTCAGGAGGAATTATTCAAAGCATCTCTTAAAAAAAGGTGCGAGGGAAGACAGCAGGACTTCAAACCTACCAAGACGCGGCCTTTCACTCAAACTGACCTGCCGGAGTTGCCTGTGGCAACTCGTTTTGGCAGAGGGAGAGAGTGCGTAGACTGGAAGTGGTGCACCTTTTAAGAAGCGCTCAAATCCGTTGTTGGAAGGACTGACCCAATAAAAATCCAGACTTAACTCAAATTCTAAATATGTGGAACGATTTGAAGAGGTCTCTTCAAATCTGACAAAGTTTGAGACATCTTAGAAAGAAAGACTGGGTAAGCCTTTATTGTCACGGAGACTCACCCCGAAATATTGAATTATTGACTCGGGTTTTATTTATTCAGGGACACTAAACACACAAACATGTCACAACGACAAATTCTATTGGTTAAAAAAAATAAATAAATCTGAGTTAATTTTATTCTACTTGCCAATCGTGCGTTACATTTTTATAACCTACCACTTAAAATCCTAATAAACTACATAAAGTTTGAGCTTCTAATGAAGCTAAATATAAACAATTTTGATTTATTTTTGCCAGTCACTGTTGGTGTTGTCCTTCTCCTACCATTTCTAAAACCTTTCTGCCTTCCGATATTATTCCTCAGTCTCGTCATACACCCGCTCGGGCGCATTACGGCTGAAGCATGCAATGAAAACGCTTTATAGTGGAAATGAATATGAATCTGCTGTCACTGCACATGTTTGGAATTGCTTCACAATTTACTTTTCTTCTTCTTCTTCTTCTTTTTTTAACTTTGAAAAACAACTGCAGCATTCTGTTTTATATTTCCTATCATGAGATCAATTCTGCGGATCAGTTTACTGCCTCAAATTTCCAGCGGCTTTGTTCCCACATAAATATTCTCAGCAGAGAGCAACAGACTGACAGCTATTTCCCTCTGGCTGCAGAGCCTATTATTTAAAGGCAACAAGTCCAATCACAAGTTTGCGGAGGAAAAAAAAAAAAAAAAAAAAAGGAAAAAAGGAAAGCATCACACTCACTGTCAATCTTCAACTTGACCAAAAAAGAAAAAAAAAAAAAAAACGGTGGATACACCGAGCATGAATATTGCAAAGCTGTCATTAGCTGGTAAAGGAGAAGAAAGCTCAAGGCATAAACAAAGTCCTAATAAGCATCGTAAATCAGCGAGAAGAAGGAGAAGGAAAAAGGAGAGCGGCGCTGCGTGTGTACGAGGGACACAAACATGCTAACATTTTAATGCGTTTTTTTTTTTTGTTTGTTTTGTTTTGTTTTTTCCCCAAGCCATGTAAATTGTTTATCACATTACACCAAACCATATGAATAGGACAAGACTTGTTTCCCTACAACAGGAAACAGTTGTTTTTTTTTCTCCCTCCTGTTTTAATAAATAACACAGAGGCTCGCTGTGGTCCTAATAAGATTATTTTTAGAGTTGCCCTGAGAAATCAGCTGGTGACCTGAATATGATGATTTCTAGCTTGATGACCAGCGATCAGCTGGCCTGCACTGGAAAATGAAACGTGTTTTGCATTTAGTGAGCGACGGCACAACGCATGTCTGCTACCGGGTCAGACTCACAATTAATACTGCAGCATGAAGTTTTGTTCAGTGTATGATAAGGGACCAGAGGTCAACTAATTAGTGGAAAAATTTACTTGTCTGCATAAAGTGTAAGAATACAGATGGGACATTTGAGTATACGATACACAAGAGCTGCTACAGTTTATGTTGGGAATCTCTTGAAATCAAACTTTGCATCCCGCAATGTTAAGATTTGCAGGAAAGTGACATGAGAGTGTTATTTACCTGATAACTTCCCGTGTCATTAAAACAAAACGCTAACAAACATATTATAATTAGGGTGTAAGAGCTATTTAAAAGGAAACAGCATCTTCTGAAATGTCTGCTGTTGATTCAGGGCTTTTTTCACACCTGACAGTTTGGTAGACTCGGTTGGATGGGAACCAAAATTGCGACATTTTGTTACGTTTTCAGCAGGTGCGGTTTGCTTTGACACTGCACTGCGTCAAACCATCCAAACCCTTTAAACAACCTGTTCACTTCCTCGCCTGTGGTGGCGCTGCACCAAGAACTACTGAAGGAAACGAGACAGAAACCTCAGGAGAAGACCAGTGCGACTTCCTTCTTCACATCTATAGAGTGGAGTCAAATTTTAGCGGTTGTAGGATTTCTCTTTTATGTCAAGTTTAAAGATCACAAGCTATTTCTCCCCACAGTGCAAGACTCGTGCATTTATTTAGTCTCCGTTGACCCCAAAATGCCCCATCGCTGTCGTTCACTTCCTGCTTTTGGAGCTGTCTCCGGTTCGCTTGCATCTACATACATGTTCAAACCGTGCCGGAGTTCATTTTGACCGAATCAAGACTAAGGTTTCTAGGTAGAGTTCGCTTTTTTGGTCCACGTCAGAGTTTGATTGGGCATTCACACCTCACCGAACGAACGAAGCTACAGAAAAATGCTTTGTTTTATCCTACTGCGCTACAGACTCCTGTCCGCCATGAAACATGTTGCATCTGGAAATGCTTTGACAATCACAAACATGACAGGCAAAACTCTCAGAGCACTGAGGTCATTTCACCTTTCCCAGTAAAACCCTGTTTTACAGCAACCGCTCTCACACACATGGTGCGACTTCAACTCTGCTCCAAATATAAATAATTAACGAATGCTCATGGAGGCTGGGCAGTTTTTACTACTGTTTTTACATCTTATTTTATTATAGTGCTACAACTGATAATGGGATTGGATCAAATGTGCAGAGGAATAGTTCAGCTCTAAAAAAAAAACACACAAAAAAAAAAAAACCAGCAGTGACTGGAAACACAATCATTGGCCACGTTTCATTAACCCGATAATACCATACGACCATCAGCCATTACATTTTAACAACAGACCCAGTACTGAATGCGTTGCCACCAAAACACATCGGACCAGTCGGAGAATTAACAACAAGCATAAGGGAGGTGTGATAAAGCATCTGATTGAGGCAGGATATTAACAGGAGTTCCTTTTGGCCCTGTGGTTTCCGAGGCTCGCTCTCTGTGGGCTGAACCCATTTCCTGCCGATGCAATCATATCCCATCAGATTGGTATCGGAGTGGCGAACAGTCCAGGGGATCAGCTCAGATTTCTGGCATTTCTTTTCTGTCATACGTTGCACGTGACAACTGCTGCAGTGATATCCATACGGATGTCACAATGCAGGTTTTCTCCACAGAGCATTGTTTAATAAAAATGGGACCACCGCTACCAGTCTGTGCCCCGTCCAATATAGACTGTGCACAGGCCCGTCGCAATAAGAAATAAATCTATTAATGGCATCATAAATTAAAAGAAATTCAATAATTTCCTTTTGCATTATTTATAGCTTTTCTCTCTGTCTCCCTTTTTACCAAAACTTTTATGACAAAATCCTTCAGTCTAGTTCATTGGTTTCAACTAGTGCTTTTTTCTTTTGAAGGACAATTTTGTTCACAGACTTCATAATTCGTTTTATTTGTTGTTCCTGTTTTGTTTATTTATTTTGGCATTTAAAATGTCTTCTGGTTCCAGTGTTAAATGTTCGTTAGAAATGAAAGTTTATTGATCTTTGATCATTTTTTCTTGCGTCATTATGACATTAGCATTATGTTACTTGAAAATGGTCTCAAAACAACAACATTATCGTATATCGCAATAACTCCTGGGACAATTTATTGGCCAGTAAAATGTGTTATTTTACTGGCCTACTTGTATTTTTTTTTTAGAGTGACATTTTCTGTCCTTTAGTTTACTAATCATATAGTAAGAAAAAAATCAGACTTATATGGTAAAATTTATTGACATGTTTGTCAATATTTTACCAACTTACACATATTTATATACTTTCTTCAATTAGGAAGTATTCAGCAGATCTCAGGTGAAATTGACAAAGGTGTTTAATCCCAAATAAGATTAGCATTCACCCATAAAACACATCGGCATCGACCTAAATGCAGTTTGAACACGTATTTGATTAAACACAATACTAATCAATGACTGGGTGCCTTGGCAAAAAGAAAAAAAGAAAAAGTAAAGTGAAATAAAATGAAGAAGTACATACTGATTAATGACTGGTGTGTAGGCTGTGCGGTCCTCATCGATTACAGATACCATAAGAGTGATGAGTTTTGGCCAGAAGTCCAGGTTCTTTATAGACGGACCCTGCTCCTCTCTGGGAAGCTCCTGTTTCCGGCTCTGTGGAGAAGGAAATTTAGATAAAGAGGGGTGAAGAAGTGCTTCACTGAGCACCGAATTAGCAAAGAGACAAAGAATGGAATTGCATGGGTAATTGCAGTGTTTTGCAGGGTGTGTGCATGTATCTGATACTTGACATTCATATGCAAATTGCTAAAATAAAAAAAAAATAAAAATTGGGTTAAAGGAAGTTGGTGTGCTGAAAGTCTGACATCAGTGATAATGAGAAACATTGAGATGGGATCGTCGGACTTGATTTGACGTTAACAGATCATCCAGATTAATTGGCTACGTTATTCCCACAAACTAGTTAGGAGAAACACAAAAATGTACAATATTTGAATTGCACAATTGCTGAATGTATTTTTCCTACTGCAGTTTGTAAGCAAAATTTTGCATCTTGCCTTTTAACCCATTGCAGACACTTATTGGTTGAACCTATGCAAACTATATCTATCTATCTATCTATCTATCTATCTATCTAGATAGATAGATAGATAGATAGATAGATAGATAGATAGATAGATAGATAGATAGATAGATAGATAGATATGTATATAGGGCCTAGGGCCTGGTGGGGGAACAAGTTAAGCCTGGTGCCCCGCCAGGCTTACAGTACACTGTGAGGTCCCAAAAAAGTATAATATCTTAAAGTAGAAATAAACTCTATTCTATTCCTCTCATGGTCAAAAGAACACAGTTTATGAAAACGGTCTTATAACAGAGGTTGATTTTAAATGCTTCACTGAGTGACATACGAGTTATACAATGAAGAGCTGCATCACAAAAAACCCCTGTTATATCTCTGCTATTATAATAAGGCTATCCGGCTGAATAGAAAGCAACATATTATATCCCAATTATGCTAATGCATATATGCCTTTCATTTCATGTTGCTATGGGAACATAAAATTCTGGAATCACCTCACAATGCAGCTGAAACTAGCATACACAATTTGATCACTACATGAGTCAGAGTGCTACAATCTCTAGACAAAATTCCTACACATAACTGCAACAGGTTTCACATCCCATGTATGATGCAAATCTGAGACACTGCTACAGAATTAATGTGACACACATAACTATGACAGCAAAAACGCAGTAATACCATTGTTCTGTCTTTATACACTGATGCAGAATGCGTCCAACTAAAAGTGAAACTGACAGCCTGACCTGTTTTCTGAATAATTCGGCTCACGATCATCTGACCAACTGGGGGAAACGGTAGAACATTGGAATCTCATTCTCGAGACAATTATTGTAGATAATAAATACATAAATAAGTCAATGAGACAGTGACATCACAGCAAAGGTAACAAACTACACTCTGATGCAGTCCTGACCCCAACACACTTTTTGCCTACATTAGATATAGACATGGTCTGTTGTTAAATCAATAAGCTATAATATCTTCCGGATTCTAACGTTTTTATTGACTGTTAAAGGTATTTTCACTGATGCTGTATTTGTACATTGTATATGTGGATGTTTTGTCACAGCCTGTTGCGGAAATCTCTCTTCCAACGTTACAGTGAAAGGTGTCAAATCCAAAACTGCTCACTGGCACTGCCATCTGTCACCCCCACACTGTGTATGACTGCAATGCTCCCCAATTAGAAAGTAACCATCCCAGTCGCTCAATCTGCCATAAGCAGGTTGCATATCAGAGAGGGAAAAGTCTACTCTGTGCAGAAAACACAGGTACTGGTTTGCATAATTAATTCTGCACACTGAACAGAACCATTCACTAAGCACATCACTACACTTTATGCACTTGCACAAACTAGTTGGAGCACATAAAATTTATAGACCATCTAGACTTTAAGAGTAATCCCTTCAAATGGATCCTGGGTGAGTTTTCTTGTTTCTATACATGACAGGGCGGTGCATATTGTATTTCTGGAGGCAGATATATTCTATTAAAACAAAACATATTCAAATTAGCTCTTGAATAACCCATGTTTATGTTATTTGACAATACCAACAACACTGACACTGTGTCCGTGTGTGTCTGATGAAATAAATTCATTTATCCTCAACGTAATCTTTTTGACTGCAATTGATTCCCAAGATAATCAACTAGTCTCTGGATTGATGCTTTAAATATATGGAGATTCCACCTCGTCATGCTGATACGTTACCTTGCTGACTTTGCATTTAGGAATTCAATCTCACACCGACATGAAACAAAGAGAGAGAGTTCATAGCTGATTCTGCAAAAGTCAAGACATTCCTCACTAATCTCCTTAGCCGGAGCAGGTTAGGTATTTCTCCTTCTTTGATGACCTGGAGTGAGTTTACTCCATTCCAACAGAGGATCAAATTCATCCAAGTTTTATTTACTAACAATTGTATTTTCCAATTTTTTTTTTTCCTGAATAAAGATGAAAATGACAATCACAACATCAAGTGGATCCATGATAGCTTGTATTGAACTTTTGACCCATGCACAAGTTTGCAAAGAATTTAGAGGTAAAAATCGTGGAAGCAATTGTAAACATGGATAAAAAAAAAAAAATTAAAAAAAAAAGACTGTTAGCAATTTATAAGGTTTGATAAATAATGTTGTTTAGGAAGGACATACTGTACACACAAAAACTGTAGTAGCAACCATGTAAGAATAATATATTCACTTTGGTCCTGATCTCTCAAAGGTTTGCAGGTACAAAAACAGGTGCAAACTTGATAGCACATGCAAACCTGATCTACAAACAACACACAAAACAAGACTGCAAAATCGACCAGCATACCAGCCTCATGAATATGTAAAACATATGGTGGTCATCAGAAATTACAAAAATCTAGGAGGAGGGAATACAAATGTAATGACTTACCACCCAAAATGCAATTAATTAACCAGAATCAGATTTGCGTCAATCAATTTCCAAATTCAATCGTTATAGATCATGTGCAACACACTAACTTACTGCACATGCAATTTGTATACGTTTAAACTACCAGAGAACGCATATAGAAATGAGCAGTTATAACGAAACGTGACATATTTACACAGTGGACTGAAGTGCTAAGTAATGTGATTCGTCCCTTTTAAATAACAGTGAAAAAAAAGAAGAAAACAAATAATTTAATGATAAATAACAGGTGGTTACTTTAGAGAGCTGTAACTTGTAATTGTGGTTTCCATCCCATGTGATTAGGGGAAAGAAAGTAAAATAATGTCTCTCCAGGAGGTGAGTGTCTTTGCTAGTGTGTGTGAGAGCATCTTAGTCTAATGATATGCATACATAAAGGACACTGAAGGTCGTGTCATCGCCATTAAGTGGAACAGAGTGTACATCCCACTAAAATGTGCAGTAGAATCCCTTCCCTCATTGGTATTCACTTGCGGCAAGCCCACATACATTGTCAGGGGTGATTGAGTGGTCTGCTGTCTTTATACAGCCAAGAACACACCACCTCCAATTGCACTTATGGTAGGAACCAAAAAAAATAATAATAAAAATAAAGCACAGAGTCTAAGCTAAGTTTCCACACTTTAGTGGGTAGTGTTGGCACGTCGAAACGGTCCTTGTATATAACTCCTCTGTTGCTTGTTCAGGCTCCTGGAGTGGGAGGATTCGGCATTAGCATACATCGAGCTTCTGATCAATTCTACCAACGTGTCACGAAATATTGGATTTCTGATTAAAGGTTGGTCTCACGGAGTATAATCACATTCCCAGGAGCATCGGCAATGTGTAGAACTGAAACTCCTACAAGTTGTCTTATTGATGTATTAAATGTGTATTGCTTGGATTTATATAGCTGTAGTTGTGTTAAATATTATACTATGCACTGTTTGTTGTTATTATCTCACCATGTACATCTAAGAACATAGCCTACAAATACGAACAAATAAATAAATAAAGTGGTTTCAAGTACAAATTCACATCAGAGTGAGGCGCGTTACACTTCGTTTTGTTTTGTTTGTTCTTCCATAGCTATTGATCTGGAGATTACATTACTTGTTGCAGAAAATTGTAGAAATTGCTTCAAACTCTGGGTGTTGGTGGACTTCCTCACTGTCTGGCTTGGAAATGATCTTGCAGTGATGTGAAACTATCCCTCAACACTGAATCAGTAAACCAATTTCCTTCATGGTATAATTCCAGTTTTATTAATTTGTCAGGGATACGAAGCTTTGTTTCTTCTACCACATTACAGTCTTCTTAACACTTCTTTGTAGAATTTTATGTAGTTTTTTTTTTCTTTAACCTTGCCACGGTCTTTGCCCAATGCTCACCAGGAGCACGGAAAATGTCAGTCGGACAGCTGGGAAGTGGTGTGATTGTCCCGTCAGACTGTCAACTTCCGAAACCGCGCACTCACAAAAAAAAAGAAAACCTCGTAAAAGCACACAGACCCTGCCAGACTGCTCACAGAGTAAAAAGCTCGTAGGGTCTAAACGACCCCATCTCTTAAAACCACAGGAGGATTAAGAAAGAAAAAGAGACTTTCTAATGAAAGAAGTCTTCATCTTTCTCTTGTATTCATTTTTTAAGAATGAAGGAAGAAATGTGGATCCCTTCTGCATATCTATCAGCCAACTGCCTCTGAAAGCTTATGAAATGCACATGCTGCCTTTCTTCCACGTTTCTCTGTTGTATACTCTGTCATTTTGACTCTTTTGAAGTGGGTGAACCCGATAAAAACAAGCATGCGCTCCTTTTGTCTGCTTCCATTCTCAGTCTTGTTGTTGTCATTTTTGTCAAGTCCTCTCTTTTCTGTATGATTTAAACTACATCCCCCTTTCCTGCAGTCCACAAATGGCACGCATCTTCGCTGTTTTGGTATGCAAGATGCCTCATTGTTGGCCCAGATATTTCCCTGCCTGCCTGGACGTCTGCTCTCATGTCGCCACACTCAGTCACAGTTAGCAATTTGGGAATTGGGGTCTGGAATGGGTTTTCTCTGCCGTGTCAGAGGCTACCTAGTATATGTGAACATAATCATTTATCGTCGGGGCTTGCTGTAGGTTGAGGCTGATGTGTTATTTTCTCATCCACGCAGTAAAACGTTGATAGAGAGTCTCTCTACTGTGAAACGGCGGCAGATGAGAATGTAATTAGTACAAGTGTCTGTCGCAGAAGTTTGGTAATTGCTTACAACCCCTTCGGCTTTTCTAAACAAAGGAAGCGTATTATTCCGCTTTTGAGGAGACTCCAGCCTCTCGCAACCTAAGACGACGTTATCGCTGTCATTGCGAAGGCTATTCGTTTTAAGAATTAAGCCGTAAAACTAGTTGGGCGGCCCTGCGTTTTGACTGATTACTTTCTGAAGTGAAACCAAAAGAGCAGGAAACCGAGGTGACAAAAAGCATTTTGCGGCTGAACAACATGATCTGAAAACTGCTCTCATTCAGATCATTCAGATGTTTTAATAAGCCTTTTTTTTTCCTATCAGTGGTGGTTAACGTTTTAAAAGCTTAGCATTAAAAGCCCTGCAAAATTGATTTAGTGCAAAACATAACTAAATCTGCTCTGCTGTTTATCAAAGCATACTAGTAATTATAAAATACACGTTTCTCAACAAAAAAAAGAGGTTACGAAAAATTTCTATCAAATCAAAGACTGTAAAAAGAGAACTTTTTTTTTTCCTTTGACAAAACCAACATTTCTAATCGGAACATGTCCAGTGGAAAATGATAAGGATCCAGGAAACATAGCTAAGTAAACGGGGTTGAGAAGAATGAATTTCTCCCAACTCATCAAAATCTGTTTTCTTCATTGCACTTTTTCCTTTTATCTTTCATAACTGCTACGGTTTCTGCTACTGCGAGGGCAGACAGCTCAGGCAGGGAGTCGACAGCCACACCACCAAGGTCACTGCAGTTGTTATTTGTGTAGCTGAACTATTTTACTTCTTATGTGTTCTCTGTCAGTACAGAACATTTGGTTGTATGTACACACATTGTATCAAATAAACATTATTTTCCGTAAAACATAATTTCAGCCACAACTCTCTTTTTTTGTCAGTACCTTGTCGAAATGAGCAAAACAAACAAGAACAATAATATTTAGCAGTTTTTGTCTTATTGCGTAGCAATGTCAGTATTTAAGCCTTTCCCACCCGTCACAGTCGTATTAAGCAAAGGTCATTTATTACTTTTGTGAGGGACAAGTACAATGGGTTTACCACTTTTAAATATCTGGGAAGGGTGCTGGTCTCCAAGCTACTTTTCTGTGGTACCAGTTTTTTAAATTTTCTCCTCCAAACATAACATAAATCCTCACTTATCACCAATTTTCTTTTAGGGTGCCAGAGTTCAGCATTCCAAATGCAGCTTCATCCCCCTTTCAGCAACCTCCACTTGTTTTCATAGCTTCTGTTTGCTAACTTCATTTCTCCCAAACATCCCTCAATTTCACAGATGGAAACAGATATGACTGGGAGCTATGCGGGCCATGGTGGAATATATTGGGTATTGCAAGATCACTCCTAAAAAAGTTTTTGTGCTCTTGAGAAATCAACATGGTCCCTAAAAGGATGAAATCAGTTAAATAAATTTGTCTGAGAAAGGCTTCCCCACCCCCAACCTGCTTTCAACTTGGCTCCAGACTTTTCAAGTCAAAGTTGCAATAAACGCGGAACATTTTACAGCATGGTAAATGCCAGGTGCAACATACGGACTATTGATTTCCAGCCGTGATGGGATGGATTTATATTTTTTCCCCCCCAACACTGCCACCTATCAATGCAAACACACTGAAACTGAGAGAGAAGATGTAACTTTTATGACGGTGTGAAGGTTTATGTTGATAAAAGTATTTCGACGAGAGCGCGACGGTGAGCTATTAAAGACAAATTTCTCTTCATTTTTCGTTGTTTATAAGAAATAGTATTAAAACAAGGGACATTCCCCCTTCTGCCAAAAGACAAGCAGGAAACTTTTTTTTTTCTAACAGTCTGAACACCGGTGTCAGTGAAGCTGTCTTCTCACCCACTTACCAAAAGTCTCAGCTGTAAAGAAAAAAAAAAGTGCCAACTGCAGCTAAATAGGATAAATCAAAAGAGACCGAGCAAAGTGCTGATTCCACGTTGGGAAAAATGGAGCGGCTGCAAAAACGTATAAAAAGCACAACCTGGACTTGTTGCGAATGTCAGATTTAAGCAACGGCTACGGTAAAATAAGACTGCCAAGTTTTACGGAAGCAAAATGCTACCAGTATTGAAGCAAACTATCACGGGAAACATCAAAACATTTGGATAAATAGGAATATTTTTTTATAAGTAATACATTACATTTATAAAGAAACGTGATTACTTTGTTGATTCTTCAGCATATGCCATCATATCTTTTGCAGCTTCTTTTCTTTATTTTGTCAACTTAGCTCAATCAAAACTTCATTCTCCTTAACTGAAGACAAACATTTTTCACCAAACTTTAAACAGGAAGTGTTTTCTCTCCTCCATAAACGTAAGATCCACAACTTGATCTTTGTCTCTAGACTGCGGCTTGGTTCCCATGACGATCTCTGTCATTGAATGTCGAGGTAGAAACACAAAACCAAACTGGGATTACCTGGTCGAGAAGCTGGTTGTAGAGCTCATGACAGTTGTCAAAAATGTATTTGTACGTCGAGTCTAAACAAGCTTTCACGCAGTCCTTTACGACCATGCTGGCCCTGGGTGGACTCTGGAGCTCTTGCACCTGCAGAAGCATAAATACAAAACGGTCTCTGAAGAATTTATACAACATTGAAATCATTTAATAAACACACTTGGAAAGAACGTGGGAAAGAACAGCAAGTATTAACTTTCTGTTGGCTTTGTATCGTGGGAAACTTTTCTGTAATTTGTTTCAACTTTCAAAGATATGCTATATGGTGTAAAGTAGCGCTGACAGGGGGGACAAACGCTTTCCTTGGTTACCCCAAAATAAAAACAAAAATGTTTGAAGCACATTGGACAGGCCCGACAGTTTTTTATGTGTTTATGCTCAGACTAAGCCTTTTTTCATCCATTATTTGGTTCCACGTGTTTTTATTTAACCTGTGAAACATTTCAATTGTTAACATTGTAAATCTTAAATTTAAAGACACTTATCGAAATGCATTCGACAGATTAAACCAGAAAAATTTTGTTGTGGATGTTTTTGGGGCCAGTCTCTGTGTCACCTGCTCCTAGTGCAACTCAGTTGCCTAGCAACAGCTTCGGGGCAGTGACACGACGGCTTATAGAGCGCCGTGCTAAAATCACTCCGGCGGCGGCTCAGTGGCCAGAGTTATTTTAATTTACGTCAGAGACAATCAGAAGATGATAAAAGAGAGTCACTGTAGGAGGAGTAATCACCTGGTGGTTCGGTTTGAGAACCATCCAGAAAACACGGGGAAGTTAATCACTCAGTCCAGGAGATAAAAGTTGATAAAAACATCAACTATGGTTTAGGTTGATGCAATTCTAATTTCTTTCTCTGTTAAAGGTGCGCACAACCACAAAGCAGTTTTAAAGGACTTTTTTTTGTGCCACTGTTCACACTTCATAACAAGGTATTAACAGTGCAATAATTCATTACCACTTTTCAAAAAGGCTCTCCTTATTCATCGCTAATAAATAGTTTACAGATATGTTATCCATTCATGAATAAACAGCTTATAAATCATTAATATTGGTTTAGGGCTGTAGCGATTCCTCGAATGATTCGAGAACCTCAATTATTAAAATTCCTCGAGGAGAATTTACCTGCCGCGAAGCTTCGTCAAATTCCGTTTTATTATTTAGCGCACCGTGTTATTTATGTTGCGCAGAGCTCTCACTTCCACCTCTGAGCCGCTGACGAAAGCTAAGTGTTAGCAGCATAACGTTCAATTTTCAAGTTCAAGGGGAATTTCATTGATTTATTATAATGTCCAGGTTTGTATTGTTTTTCTGGGGACCAATAACTATCCTTAAAATAACTGGTGAAAGAATTAACCAATATTTTTCTTTTTATTAAATTTTTATTCGATTACTCAAGTAATCATCAGAATAACCAATAGAATACTCATTTAATAAAATAATTGTTTACAACAGTGAGGAAGAGACTTTCTGCTAAAAAAAAAAAAATGTTTACAAATGCTTATTGTGCTTATAATGTAGTCTAAAACGTTTAGCATAACAACTCTAGGTCAAATAAAGAAGTGAATAGACTTGGTTCATTATTTGGCAAGAAACAGTAGATTTTTCGCCTTCTCGTCCTTAATTAATGCATAATAAACACTTATTTATGATTTATAATGCGTCTAGAGGTGAATTAATAACATATCCATGAGCTATTTATTAAGGCTCTCTAAGGGGAGCCTTATTGTAAAGCGGTAGCAATAATTCTTGTTTAAATGTTTAAACAAATCGGGAGTCTTTTGATCCACTAATTAATAAATGAACCCCAACCAGTGTTGGATGCTCCAGCGTTTAGGTGCATCTGCGGGTCACAGCATATAGGCAGAGGCCGTGGCTGTGTGTGAGCAGCGGTGCACCATGTACCCACAGTAGGGCTCAGCATTGGTACGGCACGGAGTGAAGGCTCTGATGACCTAAAGTGACAGTTTTCATTCCTCCGCTCACAGCTGCCATCTCAGCTCTGCCTCAGTGCGCCGAACCCACCCACAGAAAGGAGCTGGAAGGAGCCGAGCTTTTCTTGTAGCCTGGAAACAAGTCAGCATCCTGTAGTTTGCCGGAGGAGGAGGAATGAGGAAAGGGTGGGAACGTTTTGACTCCAGAGCGGTCGAGCGGTCGCTACGACCCGCAGAGCATCTGTGAAGCTGTTTTAAAGGAGGACGTGCATCTCGATCTCGACTAGCAAAATAAATGAAATGGGTCTTAAATAATTACATTTTATATGTGAGTGAAGGTTTTCACATTTAGAATAATCCTGTATCATCGAATACAATTTTTCAGGTTTAAATGATCTTTCTTGGTCTCATTAAATTGAATTAAAACACCAGGATCCAGGCATAGCATTAATGGATGATGGGAACTCATTAGTACCTCTGTGTATAATACACAACGAGCCAGAAGTCACTGTGAGATTAACTTTTCAATGGAAAGTTTTTGTTTTGTTTTTTATTTTTTAATTCCACTGTTATTCTACTACAAATACATAAAACAAAGAGAAATTTAGCAAGAGTAGCCCTTTTTTAAATGTCACACTTGTCATTTCTAAGGCTCCTCTGACACTGGGTCAAAATAACCTCCAATGGCATTTCAAAGGGCCACTGGAACCATGGCAGGGATCATTTTAAACACACTATGAGGGTTGTTTGTTGAAAACAGGTCAACACCTCAGAGAAAGACAGCAGCTCTGGAGCAGACACTCAATTTATTAGCTTTGTGGAACAACAAAGTAATAAGATAGTAAATGTTCAGATTTGAAATGGATTTATTCAGAATTAGCTGGAATCATAGTTGGTTTCTTTCTGCAACAGAAAGTATTCAGTTCAATTGAATAAAGCTTTATTCATTCCCAAGAGGCATTTAAAAAAGCAGAAGTACAAACAAAATAAAACAAAACTTTAAAAAAAGTACGTAACCAAGTAACAGACCACATGTCAACACACACACACGCACACACACAAAACTGTGACGGTTTTGTGTGTGTGCTAACGCTGCTTAGCCCCTGCACCACCACTTGCCTCAAGAGGAGCAACACAATCAGTCTGTGTCAGAAAATGTAAGAAATCGTCATGGCAATAGAACTGTCAGAGTCAAATATAACATACAGCACATACATTCCTGTCATATTTTAAGTACAAGCTGTGTCAGTATTGTGTAAAATCGACTTTTTTTTTAGCTTTACTTCATGTTATAATGTTATTCCTTCATCAAAATAATTCCTGGAGTGTTGCCTTGGTTCTTTCATGCATGTTTGAGAAACCTTTTAATCTCCCATGGCAACCATTCAGCTGAGCAAAACGCATCACTGGACCTAGCTCTGTCTTTGAGACGAAGATGCTGTGAGTAGCTGCAGTTCCCAAGCTTCCAAGAGCAGCTGTTCCCCCACTCAGCTCCTTCAGACTAGCCAGAAGCAATTAGCAAACACCCAGTGGAACTACGCTTCTGCTGAGCTCATTATAGGAGCTACTTCTTAGTTCAACGCTGGTAAAAAATGTTGGTGAAGGAGGAGAGATGTGCGGACTTCCTGAAGGAGGAGTTTCAGAAAAAGTTTTTAAAGCGACCAAGGGTCAATTTCAAGGTATTAAACCATGAAGTCAAATTTCTAGAACAACTGAAGGCAACACAGTTACTTGATTGTGCTATAAAATGATGCTAAATGATGATACCTGGAAAATACACAATACTGCCCCCCTTAATGTCTGTTTTTTTAGATTCTCAAATGTGGACGTTACCTTCATTCTGAAGAAAGTGATGCTCGTAAGCAGGTCAACAGTGGACTTCAGGTCCTGGAGACGCTCCGGGTTTCCTGCCGGGAAGTTGTCCTGCAGTCAAGCAAAGAGAGCAAAAAACACACACAACATGAGGGGAGGAGGACATCTTTCTGGAAGCAGCCTTGCACCGTCACACAACTCCACCTGACACGTCATATCACTTAGACGGCCAAAAAAAAACAGGAAAATTGATTACCGAGGAATGCCAAGCAATCATGGCGACATGACAGTCTGTCTAATCGTTTAGTGGACAGGGGAGGCCTCTGCTGATGAAAATCCCTATTTTAGGGCCATGAAGTCATCAGGCGGCGCAGAGCAGCGTGACGGGGAGGGGGGTAGCATATAAAGCTCTGACAGCTCAGAGGAAACACATTACTGCTCCATGCATTATCCTACTTCTCCGGCTCTCACCGGGCACTAATAAAAATGTTCTTGTTGCATCTCTTCCTCGACGCCGTCAATAAATTCACATCAGGGGCTCGGAAAACAGAGCGCCCCATCTCAACAGTGGCCTCCGAGCTCTACGACGGGAGCGCCGGGGAGATCTGACATTAACGGCGAGCAGCCGAGGCAGACCTGGCCCGACGTCTTCAGGACGAGAGCTGACGGAAGAAACGGATACAGATGATTGACAACAACAACTGCAGAAGGGTCTAAAAAAAGCTAGTGGAAAGAAAGCAGTGCACAGGCCCTTTAAATGTCTCACAAACAGTCAGCAGCCTGCTGAGAAATTACAGTTTCTGTCCTCCGTGCTCATGATTAATAGGAAGAGTCGAATTTAGAGGTGAAAGAGTAGTAAACAGCCGCCGGGCAAACGAGCACAACACGCATCCTTATGAGCAAATATGCTATATTTGGCTGTTGATGTGGAAAAGAAAAGGAAAAATCAATAGAGGCTTCTGCTGTTGTTTGTTTTTTCTGCCTTACTGATGCCGTTTCGCATCACCGCTTTTACAGGAACTGCTCTATTCTTGAAGTGTTTCATCATGGTTTGTCTGCAAGACGCTGCAAGAGGCTTCTGTGACTCCCTGGTGAAGACGTAGCAAGATGAAAATTGCACAACATGATTGTTGTGAGAAAATTTGTCACGGTTATCAGCGTGTTAAAAATATGCAAACGGCATTATTACGAAATGAGGTTATAGCCAGTAGTACTGCTCCCGTTTTCCAGAAGCGTAAATGCTACCGTGTTATGATTCTCCCTATTAATACCAACGCATACCCAACATTACTTTATTTTTATTCATAGGGGAGTATATATTTTTCCAACAGTTCTGGAAAAAATGAAGAGACCGCTGGACTGAACTCCATTGAAAACCTCCTGGTTATTCCACCAAATATTCATTTCTGAGTTAAAACATCAGTATTGTTGCTTCAAAATGAATATGAACTTGTTGTCTTTGTATTATTTGAGGTCTGAGAGCGCTGCATCTCTTTCGCCATTTTGACCATTTCTCATTTTCTGCAAATAAATACTAAATGTTTGCTTGGTATTAGGGAGACATGATGTTAGTAGTTCATAGAATAAAAGAACAATGTTCATTTTACTCAAACATATATCTATAAAAAGTAAAATCAGAGAAACTGATCATTGGGGCATGCTATGCAATGCATGGCAGGAACCTATTGTTCTACACCCAATAGAATGTCTCTTTATTATTATAGTTTTTTTTTTTTTCCGTCACCGTTTATGCGGCCCGTACCGCTGCGTGCACCTCCACAAAAGTGGTATCAAAATGTTCAGCTTGATCCCGAGAAGGGAGCTTTACTTTTAGTGGGATTCTGAGTTAAAATGACGACTTAAATTGAGAAAAACGAGAAAAATCGAGGCTGAGTGTCTCACAGAATCAGTAATCTTTATCTCTGAAACACACACACACAGCACAGTGGATTTCTGACTCCAAAACTGTTTTTAACTCCCCCTCACAGGCACAAATATCGCCCTATTGGTCTAAAAGTCGGGCATGACATAGATACACATGTCTGCTCCCGTAAAATGTTTTCAAAATTTTGCTAGGGCTTATGGTTTTGTGTCAGGGTCCTTGAGACTGACGCTGGGTGTCTCACAAGTATAGAAACTGTCTCCAACATACTGTCTGACAGAGAGCCAGCCCAGGTGCAGATAATTAATTACCATAGCAACGGGGCTCAGAGAGAGGCGGTGTGTAGTCTCACAAGCAGGCGCAGTGACAGGTCTCACAATGCATTTTGGGAAGAATACATATTTCCTGTGACTATTCATATTTTGCTTACATAAAATTATTATTTCTCTGAATTTTTGAGTGTGAATAAAAATCCTTACTATGAAGGTTGAAAAACTTCTAGAAATAAACAATTGCCCACTCTCTATTTATTTTTTTTTTTCGGACAATGAGTGAGAACCACATGTGGGAAGCTTATAATCGTCAGTCGGAGTAGATTTCACTGTGCATGACGTTCAATCGGTACATCGTAACAGTGAACCTGGTTAGTCGTAGTGCTATGGTGATGGACCTGGCAAAAGTTTCAATCATTGCACTTTGGTGATGAACAATGTTAAGCATGTCAGTACTGCACAAATGTGCGAGCTGTAGCTTCTGCAAGCCCCATTTAAATTTCTTCAGGAATTTTCTAGTTTTAAGTGGTCTCTTAATTTTTTTCCAGAGCTGCATATATTTATGTTTCAGTTGATCTGTTGTGTTGACGCTATAAAGTAGCAAACTCGTTTTCTTCAGGCAAAAAAATGTCATTATGAATTTTTTTTTTTTTCTTGAAGATACACCGACCCCTTAAAAAATACCACTTGATTAAGAAAATCTGACGAGCTGGTAACGAGTTACGCAGAATAACCAAACCATTATGAAGAATGTTAGCATCAAGGTAAACGTCAAGCTACGTCATGTTAGCCGCTAGGCTGTTAGAGGACGAGTTGTTATACTGCTGATGTATCTTCCTAGTGGAAAGTTTAATATTGTGAAGATTAAAATTAAAATATATTTATTGCAAGAATCAATAGCTGATGTCTTTTTATAAAATGGCAAGATTTGATTTTTTTCCCTCCATATAATCCACTTCCTCAGTCTTTGTTTGCTGCCACAGAGACCATATGTGCTATATCTGTTCAAAGAGGATTTTTCTTTTTTTCACTACTGAATATCTAACAAGGACTATTTATGTCTTTGACTGCAGCATTGTCAAAATCTGAGCGTGAAATCAAAAGCACTATAAAATATACAAATGATTTACACAGCTATTCCCACATCGTCCATTACTTTTCATCTTCTCTGAAGTGTAGAAAAAAAATAGTACATTTACCAGCCACTAAGTACAAGAAAAAAAGGGACAATAATAGCCAATCATATCATTTCCAGCCAGATGTGGCTGCCTGCAAGTCTTTTTAAATTCCCTTAATTTAGACAAAACAGCCTGAGACGATTCAGCTGGTTCTGCAGCTGAATCCAAAAGGGCGTTAAAGACCTAATAAAGGTTGTTTTTAAAAAATATATAAATATATTATTTTAACAGATCTAAGGAATGCGATTGACTGATTACACCAAAAATATGGTTTTGCATTTATGAACATGCAAAACCATACTGGTTGTTTTGTTTTGTTTTTTATTAAAAAATTACTTTTAGGTCAGCTTGTATTCAAGAGAAATTCTCGTTAACCTAGAAATCGACACAGTATAGATGGAGAGAACTGCATTGTTTCCCTTTCCGCATACAAATGAACAATTTGAATATTAGACGCGTCAGAGACACTCATAGTATCACACTGAGTGCAGCTTTAATACACTGACTTAAGTCTGTTGTGCGTATTTCAAAGAGGCATAATAGGGTAATTCTCTAAGTCTGGAACACTCTCATGTAAAGTAAGAAAAAGCTCTCCTGATTTTACAAAGAATATATTGATGGTGACATTAGCATTTATATGAAATAAGAAATGACATCGAAAAGAGCTGAAGCTGCACTCCAAAATACGTGGTTTTCACATTTTTCGCTCTGCCTTCCATCTGACCCATCACGTAACGATGAATTTAAATCTACGCACTAAAAATAAAGTCTTATTTTCTACTTCCATTTGGACGAAAAAAGGCCTCAGGGTTTAGCTTTTAAGTGTGTGCATAAAGTGTGATAGATTCAGGAAAACTAAAGTTTTACTGATAACTGGTTAGCTAACGCTAACGAAATAACAAAAATTGAAATTGAGAAAACATTTCCATTAGCTGAAATGAATAAAAACAGTAACATGATGTGAAAACGCTAGAGGGGAATAAATGATATGCTGTCTGAAAAACGCTGTACATTAGAGGGTTCTTTATCCAGATGTTAACAATAATGTCAAAAAGAGAGCTAGAGCTATCTGAGCTGTTGTCTGAAAAGCGACAGTGACAGCGAGAAGCAACCTCAGTAGAAGAAACAGGAAGAGAAGCAAACAAAAAAGACACAGGAGAGATTGAGAAAAAAATAACTTCTTTTTTTTTTGGCACCAGCAGATGAGTAAACTAAAGCAGGGAATCCATCTGTGAGCCAAAAGTCAAGACAAACATCATCAGTGCCTTAGAAAGATGACAGGGAGAAAGTGATGCTGATGAGCTTTGAGGTGTTTGTCTCTGGTGTTGTCGGCGCCGGATCTTATTTTGGACCAGAGCCCAAACTCTGCAGCAGCAGCAGCAACTGCTTATCATCAAAAACAAACAAACAAACAAAAAAAAAAAACCCAGTTCACACAGCGAGGAAGAGGAAGCAAATCATCACCAACTTCAAACTGTTTCACAGTTCCACCTCCAGAGTTTATGCAGGCCTATGCGATTTACCATATGGAGCTTTGAAGCTAATGTGTGGAAACGACTCTTAGTCAGGCCATTGTAATTTAAACTGCATGCTAAATATCGGCGCGGAAACATCTGCCACTGTATGATTCCCTGAATTCAGTCTTAATTTACGATGATCAGATCAGGGCTGTTTGTACAGTGGTTTGCTGAGATATCTTTAAAACTTGAACTTTTTTATGTTTTTTTCAATTAAAACTGAATCCTTCAGAAGTTTAAAAGATATTTAATGCAAAAAATA